GCGGGCGGGGGGGGACACGGGACACAGAGCCCCGGGGCTCCTTCGCCGCTCACCCGGCCCTGTCTCTCCCCGCAGGTGTGATCCTGGGAACCGCCAGCCATTTAGACGCCTGCAGAGTGGCCCCCTACGTGAATATGGGAGCCCTGAGGATGCCTTTCCAACAGGTAGTTAGCTCCGGTTTTATTTGCCTTTCCCCCGGCAAGCTCCGACCCCCTTTTCGTTTGCACGGGAGGAAGCCGGACACGTTTACAAGTGCCATTTATATAGAAGTTGGCACGTATTAAAAACAGCCTGTAAAACTTGGTGGAGGAGCCCCCGCCCGGCTGCAGGGAGCTCAGCGCCCCTCGGGCCCGGGGAGGGGGCCGAGCGGGGGGTCCCGCGGCACCGGGAGGAGCCGTCGGTGCTACGGGCACCCCCCCCATTCCCTCCGCCGTGTGACGGATGGGCTGGCGCACCGTCCCGGGGCCGCCGGCAGACGTGGCAAAGGCGGGCTGGCCTCCCGGGGGGGGCATCGACTTCCTGGGGGGGTAGGGGGCGTGTGTGTATGTGTGTTGTGCCCAGGCAAGTCCGGGGACGGGGCGGGCCAGTCCCCAACCTCCCTGGGCGGGGGGCTTCTGCTCCCTCCCGGCGCCGGAGAGAGCGGCGGGGGGGGGGGGACCCTGCAGATATTCTGCTGCGGGGTTGTCTCCTCTGCGTGGCGCGCAGGGTGCAGGAGGTCTGCTGTGACTCATCCACACACTACTGCTTCATTGCTCCGGCAGTATATTTAGAAACTCTTGTGTAGAGCAATTTTTGAAGATGGTTCAATTCAGAAATACTTCTGCTGTTGACAGATTTTTTTCCTCCACTCCCCTTCCCCCTCCTCATCCCCTCTGCTCTCACTCCTTTTTTTTTTTTTTTTTTTGGTCAATTAATCGGGCAATCGATTTTTCCCAGCCCAAAGGGACCCTCCGCCACCTTCTCCGTCTCAGAGACACGTGGAGCTGACAGATTGATTGTATTGATTTTTAAAAGACATATTTGGACCAAAAATAATTACATACATAAATAAACTTCCCCCCCCCCTCCCC